AATCCAATAAGATCTTACTTGATTTTCTCCTCTAGATTTCCTTTCGTCAACACGACGATACCGCACAGAAGGTCCCGGAATATGATCCCTCGCTTTGTACCACCACAAGCCTGGTACAACCACTCTGCCACTTCGTAAGGTACTCCGTCACATAGCACTTCATGGACGAACGCTTCCAGGCTCAAGGCCGTCCCACTTGTACCGGCACATCTCTTAAACGCTTCACGAATACGTCGTAATTCACTCTCGCTTACTGCAAACAAAACTATACTATAGAATCATACAACTTCGTAATACATTAACGCACATTTATCACACCGCGTACCTCTCTTCGTCGCATCTTCGTAAGATATAAAACTAGGTTTTGAATCTTTCGCACCCATATTCGATAACACGGAATAATCATAACATTTTTAACGCGTAATTAACACAAAGAAACAATAATTACTACAGCTGACAGCTCACGTCGTATGATCTGTAGCCATATTGAATATTTTTATTTTTTATACAACTTCATTGCGAGCTTCAGCACTTGCCACTTGTTCTATCAAAATTCAACTCTCAACTCATGTCATGAAAAACTGGAAAACAAGTCTTCACAGATAACGTAGTGATTGAGAATATGATAAGATATTTAATAATTCTATCTTTTACTTTATATTTAAAATATTAAATATTATCACCTTTAAAATAGGTTTTGTTTTAGCACATTTTCAATCAACAACGTTAATTTTAATTATTTAAAAATATATTTTAAGATAACGTATACGATAATTTCAAAAACTCAATTGACATTGACACATCTAGAAAAGAGTATATAAAATGCATCTAGTGTCATAATATTTTGTAAACTGTCAGCCAGGCCAAAGAGTACATAAATTTTATATACTCTTTGCTGTCAGCCACTGTCAGCCTTTCAACCAAAGAGTATATAAAATAAGAGACGGGACTCTTGACTAATTAGATACACAAACGGAGAATAAAAATTGACATTTTCAATGCTAGCAATATTATGAACAAGTCTACGTTGCTACCAACCTAAAAAAATCAATCTGTCAATTTCCGTTTTGACGTTTGAAAGTATTATTCGAGGGAAAACAATTTTGGAAAAATAAAACAATTTCGTTAATTGCAACTTTATTTAATCTTCTGACTAAAGCGAACATATTTTAAGAACGCAACATAATGCTCATTGCTTTCGTAATAATACCATTATTGCATTACCATTACCATTAATGCAGAGCCAGTGAGGGTTGGTTGACTTCGCACATATCTTTGAATTTCTATGCAGTTGTATGCAATTTGTAATTACAGTAAGAATGTCTGATGGATGTTATCATGAAATTCGAAGAACTCATTACTATATAGCGGAGATCGTACCTGGATATGTAAAATATGATCCGGTCAAGCGCCAACTGCACTGCCGACGCTCCAAATAGTCCCCTAATCCAAACTTTTCCTATCAAAACATTGCAAATGTTTTGACATGTTAAATATTATGTACTGTAAAAATAGAATACAATATTTAAGTTTTACTTCTCAAATAAATTCATAAAATTATCATGAACCTAAAGATTCCGCATTTTAACTCTTTTGTTATTACTATTCTCCA